GCTTATGTACTGCTTATGGTACTGCTTATGGCACTGCTTATGGTACTGATTACGGTACTGCCTATGTACTGATTATGGTACTGCGTATGGTACTGCTTATGGTACTGATTATGGTACTGATTGTGGTACTGATTATGGTACTGCTTATGGTACTGTTTATGGCACTGATTATGGTACTGATTATGGTACTGATTATGGTACTGCCTATGGTACTGATTATGGTACTGATTATGGTACTGCTTATGGTACTGCTTATGGTACTGTTCATGGTACTGATTATGGTACTGATTGTGGTACTGATTATTGTACTGATTGTGGTACTGATTATGGTACTGATTGTGGTACTCATTATGGTACTGCTTATGGTACTGCTTATGGTACTGATTATGGTACTGATTGTGGTACTGATTATGGTACTGCTTATGGTACTGTTTATGGTACTGATTATGGTACTGATTATGGTACTGATTATGGTACTGCCTATGGTACTGATTATGGTACTGATTATGGTACTGCTTATGGTACTGCTTATGGTACTGTTCATGGTACTGATTATGGTACTGATTGTGGTACTGATTATGGTACTGATTGTGGTACTGATTATGGTACTGATTATGGTACTGATTGTGGTACTCATTATGGTACTACTTATGGTACTGCTTATGGTACTGATTATGGTACTGCTTATAGTACTGTTTATGGTACTGATTATGGTACTGACTGTGGTACTGATTATGGTACTGATTGTGGTACTTATTATGGTACTACTTATAGTACTGTTTATGGTACTACTTATAGTACTGTTTATGGTACTGAGTATGGTACTGATTATGACACTGATTATGGTACTGATTGTGGTACTGATTGTGGTACTGATTATGGTACTGGTTATAGTATTGATTATGGTACTGCTTATGTACTGATTAAGTTACTGACTATGGTACTGATTATGGTACTGCTTATGGTACTGCTTATGGTACTGATTATGGTACTGCTTATAGTACTGTTTATGGTACTGATTATGGTACTGACTGTGGTACTGATTATGGTACTGATTGTGGTATTTATTATGGTACTACTTATAGTACTGTTTATGGTACTACTTATAGTACTGTTTATGGTACTGAGTATGGTACTGATTATGACACTGATTATAGTACTGATTGTGGTACTGATTGTGGTACTGATTATGGTACTGGTTATAGTATTGATTATGGTACTGCTTATGTACTGATTAAGTTACTGACTATGGTACTGATTATGGTACTGCTTATGCTACTGATTATGGTACTGGTTATGTTACTGCGAGTCGGCATTGTTTTAAAGATACATATTGTGGCCTGTGGGAGTCATGTCATAAACACCTTATTATGCATATCTTACAAATCTGAAAACAACAACTAGCCAATAGTATGTTTAACTTGAATGTTAATTCAATATTTACATTTTTTTATAGTTCACATTTGTGTCATTATACCGGAAAGGTCACCATATCGTACGTTTGTGGATTTAAATATCACAAAAGATTTTGAGTGACGACTGCAAGACTTGACTCCATTTAATTAATAAGAACACTATGTATAAATCGAAGGTGACAACTAGCAAGACTAATCTCGCAATTGCAAGATGACGATGAAGCACCTTTCTCGAGATAGAGTCAGGCAATTTGTCAACATTGTAAATTATAAATATGCAATAGCTCTTGGAGACCATTCTTGACAATAATAATGTAGCAGTGCATATATTGAGGGCATAGTTATTGAAATATGACATCACAACCAATATTACAAACGAGTGATGAATACACATAACGGCTCAGGTAAATACACATATATATGCATAATATAGTAAGCATAAGCATGTTTTAAATGTACAAAATATTGTTGCATTATATTGTTAAAGCAGTATTTTTTAAAAGTATGCATGCATTTGTTTCTTTCCATTGCTGCCAATATTATCGAACTCGCAAGCTTTTGAGCTGTACTATGAATGAAGAGTGTGTGTGTGTGTGTTTGCTTTTCCTAAACGACGGTGAAGAGGACAGGAATATTACTAAAGAATTGCCGTATGTCGGTCATCGTCAATCATGTGAAAATATCATGTGAAAATATTAACTAATTTTTCTTCAGAATAAATGCCAAATATTAATCAAATCAGTCAATTCTTGTTCACAATAAGGTTCAGGCTGTGACTGAACTGAGAAACAACTACAGACATAACTCATTTACAAACATAACGTTTTTTAAACAATCTGCTATTTTATTAAACCAAAAACGTGTGCTGACATTCTAAAGGTTTTTGGTCGATATAATGAGCTGGGAGTTAACCTAGGTTTTTAATGGAAACTTCTTGATTATGAATAATATAGAATAGATGCAACATGAGGATGAGGATGATTGTATTCACTCTATTCCTATCACCTGACATCCTTTCATGTGTACCACGAGGTTCATTATCCTCCTCTCACCAAATTGACTAAATACCTAGATACTTAATTGTTTGTCTGTCATTTGTTTTGTGTTGTTCACTAAGAATTCGTTTGGTCATGTTGATATTCTAAATTTGTTGCTAATTTATATTTCAGTGAAAGTGTATTAATATAACCTCTGACATTTACTAATGTAACCCGTTAGCTATATACGGAGGAGATTTTTTAATTTCATTTTTTCTAGTCTAGTTACGTTTTCTTTACCCTGGGCGAATGGATGAATCCTCAAGTCAGGTTATATCAGTGTTAATTAGATTGTCTCGCAGTAGTTTCAGGCCCGCAAACGAGTTATTTGTATTACTGTGAATGCGTTCATGACTGTAGATTCACCACGACAATAAACCTTATTGGGTACTGAATTTATGTGCAGTCGAATAACACCACAATTTTGCCATTCTTGAGTACGCAGGTGGTCAAATTATGATGACAGTTGAATAACCAAGTAAATCACCAATTATACATGGAGGTGAGAATATTCTTGGGAGTAACTATAATTGAAGAGCCCGTAATCGACTAATTGCAACTGACTTTTCAACCATTATTTTTTTTGTATTTATATTTTATCATACGTTAAAGTAATTTGTAGTTGAGAAATTCAAAACATATCCCCACCGAATTGTGTCCACATATTCGTTTTGCCGAGCATTTAGATTATCATATTATTGCTCAATTGACTTTGAGATGATTCCATGCACTGCATAACTGTATCTAAATAGTGTAACTAGAAGATTTAGTAGTGTGTTGTTTACGGTAACATCTCCGCATTGTTAAAAACATTAACGACGTGTATAGCTCACACCACATGGCATTATTGATAGCAGTCTCAAAATAAATATATTATGGATAGTATGTAGAGGCTGGATACACGGAATTGAAATACAATGTAATTAAATATTGAATGCGATTCTATATCAACTTAGATTAATACGTGTTATTCCGTTATTTGCCGGTATTCTCGTTGTCTCTTTATTAAACGAAGTTTTTAGATTGACAATCTTCTTCAAACATTGCTACGTGGAATATTACTCCTAATATTCTTACAAACATGTGTTGAATATTAAAGTTTAGAAACACAATGAATATGTTTATATTATAACATACATAGGCGTCTTCAGGGAGCATGTTTATTAGTTTTACTGAAACTATCGATTAATAAATGGTGATATGGGTGTGAGTTTCTTGTGAGACGTTAGCGTTTTATAGTCATACACATTTAACTGTAATATCAATAATTAAATTACCGGCCTCTTTTTGCGAAACACTGGGGAACTTTTATCTAACCAAGCCGCATCACAAGTTGTGTATTATCACATCGTAAACGTGTTTCTTAACTCGCACAATGTATGTTTTTTTTATTTCTGCTCATTACTCCATTGTTCAGCTAAACACAACAAGCAATGTAACAATACTCACCATTACAATATCTAAGTTTAAACATCAGACGGTACTTAAATGGGTAAGGGGGTTTTAGAAATCCTCTTATTATGGCATCATCGATTTCTGTGTAAGTGGTAATATTTAAAAAAAATGAACCTTAAATATATTCAAACTTGTAACTTAAAATATATCAAAAAGTTCCGTGCTGTATTTAGAATTCCTCGGATTTGAAAATTTCTAGGTTTCGGTAGTTATATATATGACTTCTGCATTACACAATGCCTTCAAAAATTTAGAATATTTCTCCGAATCATATATTTATAGGTAGTTTGGGATGATAGGTTTTAAGTAAGATAAAATCCCCGTAATCCACTTCATCTGAGTAAAAAATCATCCCTGTATTAAAATCTCTCAGTCTGAAACCTTAACAATTATACTCGGGTCACACCTTATGTCTTTGATCAGTCTTCGTAACCACCGGGCTTTGTCTTTATACAAATACATATCTCAAAAGTCAATCGATAAACCTCACAATGCAATCCAATGCGCTGCTCCTGGCATGTTACCTTTACGGGGACTAGCGTATTGTGAATTAACATTTTAATTACTTGCGTATCATAACCTGGGGCAGTAGACAGTCTTCGTAACTACTTGACTGAAGCCGGAGACCTATTTATTTGTAATTAAAAGGAGATAATACTCTCTCATGAAACTCTGTATCTGAGTTAATTTTGCAATGTGATAAACTGCAAATAGAAAGACACCAGCTTACACTAGTATATAATGTTACGTGATAAAGTATAAATAGTGATGTACAATATAAGAAAGTTAATACGTTGTTAGTGAAGACACGTGGTTTGGTTCATTGCTTTTGTATGGCGTCATACTGTAAGGTGACACAGTACACGCACGTAATATTTGTATAAGGCAAAAAAGTATATAATGGAAAAAACTCAATACGTTACTAGCTGTAGCTAGATTTGGAATTAACATTTTTATATGTCGGTCTTAAACAGATAAATACAGGTGTAACGAGGATGTCCTGGTACTGCATAATATATAATACATTTTATCTGTTTTATCGCAGACTATTATACAAATAAATAAATATCTATTATACGAATCGCGATAATCTCTCATCAGCACTCGGCGATACTCATGTTGTTGACAAGTAGGAGCAGAGGAAGTCTGTCTAAGCACTATTTACATAGTAGGTAGTTAGGAAGATGTTATTATAGACGTTGATACTGACTGTCATATATTAAAAACGACTGGAGACTTTACATTTATCAGCTTTTAATCAAGCTTTAACAATGATCTATTAAAGAAGGATTTAAAGTAATTGTTTGATATTGTTACACGGTACAGAACTACGTTTTGCAAACTAGAAATAGATTACATTTGTTACTACCTATTGCAGTGTGTAAAATAGCCTATGAGACACAATTTAACTATGAAATACTAGATCTGGTATAACTAACAAACTAAAACCCAGCACTCGTACTTGCAATGGCATGTCCATGGGGTTTCTCATTGACATAAATGCGTGAGTACTGTCCCTGAGGTAATGTCTGACTATCCATAATGCACAGAATACAAGGAAACGTACTTCACAAATTAAATGTAGTATATATATCAAGCATGTCTGACAGAATACATGGACAGCTCAGGTGAATGATTTTTGTGTTAAAATGCATTCCACCAATAAATATAATATCATAATTTTATAAAAGTCTTATCAGTCAATAGAAAATTACAAATGTTTTTTTTTTGTTTTTGTTTTTGAACTCGACAAGTAAACAAAAACTGCTAATCTATAATTATTAAACCGGAAATCCTTTTACAAAGTTGTGTTACTTATTGTGAATTAAAATGACTTGTAGTCGCACTTTCTTAAATACACACAGGTTACAAATCTACTATATGTTGAAAATAGACATAAATGCAAATAATTCATTCTTAGTGATAATGCATACTTTGATCAATGACAGTAATATTGTATGAAATTATTTAGTTATAATAGGCGCTATTTGAAAACACTATCCTGGCATGGTAACATCACAATAGCGTGTTCTTATGTATTGGCTTTTTTACTATGTAAGACTCATACAACAAACATATATAACACAAAACGGTTACTTTACGAAATTTATTTCGACTGCATTACATAGTTATTTTTTTACAGTTGAAATGAATGAAGCAATATTATTATAATATGACACGAATCATTCACATACATTGTACGTATATTCATAGTACTCATGATTTGTATCTATCTAGTCACGTGTGACCTTTCCCGAGTTCAGTTATTGAATATCGAATTTACCTTTTATTTAGTTACTGTAATATAAGTATTATATAGAGCGTGTTATTCATAAGCCCATAGTAAATCAGCGACGAGAACAGAATAGCGATCATAGTAACGGCCAATCCACCGTCTCCAGCCTAGCCATCATTACGCGGCCCAATGCTTGGATGACTTCCGTCAGTAAAGAATCTAAATTTTACTGCAGAATCACCAAGGGTATTGTCACATAAC